GCTGCCTGCAGGCGGTGGCCGACTACAGGGCGCACCTTTACCCCGTCGACGAGGGCAGGCAGGAGGGCGCGAACAATGTCGACTGCCTGCGCCGCCTCTGGCAGGTTGGCGTAGCTGGCATGTATAATGGAGGTGACTTCCAAGGGAAGTTTATCGACCAGGCGGAAGCGGCGCGCGGCGCCTGGGTCCGCGCTGGAGGGGTGCAGCGGAGCAAGGGTCTCCTCCAGGCCGTCTTTCTCCGAGTTTGTAAACTTGGCCAGTTCGTCTAGTCTGGCGCCGCCACCAGCGCGGATCGGGCGCCATGGGGGACCTTTGACCAAGGGCCGATCTGCCAGCGGGTTGGCGAGGCCGCTGACAACGCAGCTGTTGTAGAAGGCCCAGTTCGGCCAAGCCAGGATCTGCGGGTGCATCCTATAGCACACGGCGCGCTGCACAACTGCGGCGCCCTGCCCTCGCAGGGCGCGGCACAGTCGGTCGAAGACGCCGACGCAGAACCCCAGGTCGGCGGCCAGCTTGGAGACAACGGTCGGAGGAGGCTGCTTTGGGTCACGTACCAGGACCAGGCGGCCTCCGCCGCGGATCACGTTGACCAGGGGCACGGTGGAATGAAGTTCGGCGGTCTGCCCAGCTTCGTCGATCACCAGGAGCGCTAGCTGATTCGGGCACCCACCCAACGCTTCCGCTGCCACGCGGAGATGATCACATTTGCTTTGCCGACGAGTTCCGATCGGAACGCCGGGAAGTCAGGCGAGGCGCCTCCTTCGGTGCATGGGAAGCCCCCCGTGGCCTTCTGGAAGTGCCCCTCCGGGGTGAAGCCGATCAGCTTTTCGTCGACCTTCTCTTTCTAGCCAGGCGCGCGAAGCGGTCTGGGAAGCAAGTGCCCGGGTCTAGCTGGCGAGCGCGGCGCACGGCAGCCATGGCGAGGGCTGGCTGGTCAGCTGCGGTGTTCGACCCTGCGGCGAGCACAACCGCCTGTCCGCGCATGGGTGCGCCGCCCAGATGTCGAGCGTCGCAGTGGACAGATTGGTCTTGCCTGTGCCGGGAGGTCCGTGGACGACAATGACGCGGTGCCTAGCGGTGGCTTGGAGCGCCCGCCTGGCGTCTGCATTGAGGCCGTGTCGGTCTGCGCCTCGTTCCAGGGTCTCTTGCGAGGGCCTCGCCCTCGCCCTCTGGAAAGCCTGCCCGGCCGTGGAGCCTACTTCTTGTCTGCGGCCAGGGGCTGCGGAGGCACGTGTCGGGTCAGACCAGAAGCCCGAAGGGCTTCGATGTCGGCGTCCGGGGCAGGGAACTCAAGCGCGGCAGAGGCTCTCGCCCGAAGGTAGTGCCCGACCCTGCCGGTGCTGACGGCGTCGTCGGCCCCGGCCTTGTCCCCCTTGGGCGCGGCGCGGAAGGTGAGCAGGCAGGTGATGTTGGGCAGAGGGGCCCGAAGAGGTCAGCAGGACGCTGGTTCGGGAAGTAGGTGTCGCTGAGGGCGCTCGACTGCCTCCAGCACTGCACTTCCGAGGGGGCTCTGTCCACTCTGCACCGGGCGTCTCCTTCTTGGTCTGGCCGGGGCGCCTTGGTGGTGTCGTCGTGGAACGGGCCTTGCCTGCCGTGGTTGCGCGACACTATGCACCTGTTCGATGGGTGCCTGGTGCCGTGGGGGGGCCCGAGGGCCCTGCACTCCCGCGGCGCTACATTCCAACCCAGGACTTGCGGCCACCAAAGCGTCACCTCCGCCACCTGATCGACCATGGGACCCTGCACCGAGACCAAGCAGGCTTTTGGCGCCCTGCGCGCCTCCTTCGCCCTTCATGCCGATGCAAAACGTGGGCTGCCATTCCAGGAGGAGGAGCTCCTTGCCCCCACTTGTCCACAGACTGTTGCGGAGGGCGAAACGGCCCAGGTCACTGCAACTGCTGCGGGAGTGTCGAAATTCCTCGCAAGTTCCGCTCTAGCCTTCAGGGTGCCGTCGCCAGGCGTTTCCAGGGCGGCACGTCCATCGATCCAAGCAATGCGCTTCAGCGCGAGGCCTCGGTCTCGCAAGATGTAGGGCCACTGGGATGGGAGATTCACAGCGCCGAATAACTCCCCAAACGGGACGGCGGGGTGCACTCGGGCTTTGCTCAGGCCACTGGGGAGCGAGAAAATGTCCCGGACTTCGATCGTTGCGGTGAGCGCCAGAGACTCGAGCACGGCTCTACTGCCAGGATCGGGCGCAGGAGGGCTGTCGCCGTCGTCGGCTAGTCTGACGGTGCGGATTTGCTGCAGCGGCTGGGCCCCGGCGACTGGGGAGCGTTGCCCCCCGCTGCTGGAGGCGGAGGCGCCGTCTGACCTGGGCCGAGCGCGGTAGGCGGATCCGCGGGCTGCGGAAGCATGGTGTCCAAGGGCGAGGTGGACTTTGCCAGGGCGGCGGCCCGCCTCGTCAGACTTCCGTGGCCTCCACACGTTCGCTTCGGCGCTGCTGATGTGGGCTGGTTGAACCTGCATCGGGTCGAACAGCGTGCAAACGGGACAATTGTAGTCCACGGGATCATCTGAGAGCGGGCAACTGGTGGGCACGTGGAATCAGTCTTCCGGGATCGCTAGCCCAGAGAGCAGCCGAGCACCATTGACATCGATGGGCTGTGCTGGCGCTCATCCTGCCCAGGCCTTCCTCTCGATGTAGCATTTATGGTCACCGTCCCAGGTCGTGCCCCAGGTCATGATCCACATATTGCCAGGGGGTGTAAAGGTGTTGGGATTTGGCCATCCGTCCTCGTACTGTCTCGCTCCCTGCCAGAAGTGGTCTGCGTCGAGTAGGTGGTCGATGCCATCGCATGCTCTCTGACACAGCTCGCAGCACCACCTCCACCTTCCGCCGAAGTACGCCCACCGCATCCAGGGGCAGTATCTCGCCAGGAAGACACGCACTCCGCCCCTATGTGGGGCCCCCCTGCCGCCGCTGCAGACCGCGCCCAACGCAGAGCTCATCTGAAGGAGGCCATCACCTGTATGGAGCAGAGAATTTCAGCACAGCCGTCGCTACAGTCAGGCTCGGCTCAGTGGCGGGCGCTCGAGCTCGAGTTGAGTGTGTTGCAGTTCATGCATGTGTCCGCGTACCCCACCAAGGAACGAGCTGCCAACCACAAACGTGCATGTGCAGCGGGCCGAGAAGAGGCTCGAAGCAGCAGAGCAGGAGGAGAAGTCGGCAGCAGCAGCCCTATAAGCAGGCAACCCCAGCACCTGCCAGCTGGAGACAGCGCTCAACCAGCAGGACAGCTCCCACAGGTCATCGCAGAGATGCAGGCGTCGCATCTCACGTTGGCGGCGCAGTTGAAGACGCTGACAGACTCTCTCGTCGAGGTCAAGAGCTGCATCTCCACCCTCGTGACGCACCAGTCGGGGCCCGCCACCGCCGAACCACCGCTCGACCCGAGTTAGCCTGAAGTTACTCTGAGTTTACCTTTGAGTTAGCTTTAGTTAACATGAGGTCACGGTGGAACTATAACCATATTATAGCTCACTTAGTAAACCCTCTAACCCCAACGGTCTGCGAAGAATGGGAAGACCTGTTGCCCCATCGGGGCCCGACGGAGATCGGGGCGGGGCTCATCGAAGCCTGTTACGCCAATGCGGCCAACCTCATGAACCGGTCATGGTGCCTCAACACGCCAGCTTCAACACGCCGGGGGCACGGCGCCTCAACACGCCGGCCTCCTCGGCGTGTGGCTCGGGGGGCGTGAGTGCTGGGACAGCCTCACCCCGACAGGGCAGCACCTTTGGACGTGGGCCTTGGGAGCCCTGGTACTCTTCCTGCTGGATCGCTCGATCATGGGGGGAGCCAACCTACTCTATCTGGGGAGGCGGCTTACGGGGGGAGCGGCTCTGGCTTCCACCTGGATGGGGCGACCCCCTTGGAGAGCCTCGACTGGCGTGGGGAGAGCTACCAAGCCCGATCTACCCTTCTTCAAAAGGATGATCTAGTGTCGGGGCGAGAAGGTTCAGAGAACCCACAACCACGTCGTGGTCGTGATTGAGGGGGAGCGAGCCCGCCTGGAGCCGTGGGAGGAGGCCCAGCCCCGGGCCAGTCGCATCAGGGCCCTCGGCGCGCGCCTGCTGGACAAGCTGGGCTGGGGGAAAAATTCGCCTCGCAGAAATTCAACCTCAGGGCCTGGGCATTCCCAAGGAAGTGTCGGCAACGCCGCACTTCTGGCAACGGTCCGAGATGATGTACCCCAAACGGGCCAAGGACGCATGTGTGGGCAAAGTCCCGGAAAAATAGGTGCGGAAACGGACCTTATCGAGGTGGCTCAAATCAAGGCGAGAAGACGCGAACAGCTGGCGCGGAAGCTCCCACCAAAGGCCTCGGGTCTCGAGGTCTTGGGTGTCAAAATCGGTCTTCAGGCAGCTCATACAAATTTGGCTCTGTACAAAACCATGTTTAAGGTGTCTGGTTAATGTGTTCTTACTGCTGCTGCTGACACCTCCGTCCTCCTCTTCCTCCTCCTCCTCCTCCTTCTCCTCCTCCTCCCTTTTTATCCTACCCTTTGACGGCCCCACGAGACGCGCGAATGCCAGAAGTGTGGGTGAATTTCCCGACGGGGGTCGTCCGTCGTTCGTTCTTTGCTAGTTGCCTACAGATGCCAACCAAACTCGCAATAAAAGCCGAAGCGCCAACCAAAGTCGCAATACAAGCAGGAGCGAACAGGGGCATGCACTACCCCACCGAATCGCACCCCACGCGAAGCGGCTGCAATAGGAGCAGGAGCAGGAGATTGGGCACAGAGGTGGAACAGCGTTGCATCTGAAGCAAGCGAAGAACTGCGCGCGCAACCAGTACGCATGCAGTTGGATAGCTCTGGGCCCTTTAAACCAATTCGGAAGGCGACCACGTTTGCTAACTCAAGATGAGGAATGTCAGTCCTCGCCTGTATCTTCTAAGCCCTCCCACTTCACTGGGTAGAGCAAGCGACCCCTACGGGAAGCAATGGAAGCCACACGCAGCTTAACAGGAGAAACATCATAGCAGAAGAGGGAGCCTTCAGATCTTCTTGTTCTCCCAAAATCTGAACGCCAAGCACTCCGACCTGGCAAGCGAATTGCCCTGAGTTCCCTGATGCTGGCACGCGCGCGACTGGTGGTGCCACGCTGGAGGGAAAGCGGACTCGCAGAAAGATACAGAAACAGAGGGTGAAAGAGAGAGAGAGAGCTAACGGTGTATGTATACACACATGTATGCACAAACATACATATGCATATACACACATACATGCATGCATACATACACACATACATACATACATACATACATACATACATACATACATACATGCATGCATGCATGCATGCATGCATGCATACATACATACATACATACATACATACATGCATATATACATACATACATACATACATACATACATACATACATACAGACAGACAGACAGACATACATACATACATACATACATACATACACACATACATACATACATGCATGCATGCATGCATGCATGCATGCATGCATACATACATATATATGCATACATACATACATACATACATACATACATATAAGTATAAGTATAAGTATAAGTATAAGTATAAGTATAAGTATAAGTATAAATATAAGTATAAGTATAAGTATAAGTATAAGTATAAGTATAAGTATAAGTATAAGTATAAGTATAAGTATAAGTATAAGTATAAGTATATGTATATGTATGAGAGAGCGCGCCCACAGGGCCCGAGCAAAGGGGAGGGGGGGCTAGGCTTAAGCTACCCCCCCTCCCTCGAGCCGCTCTTGTTGGAAGCACCCCCCCCTCCCCCCCTTTGTTTCGCAAGGGGGGAAGGGCTTACAGCTCCCCCCCCCCTCCCCCCTTGGGCCCTCCCTGGAAGCTACCCCCCCCTCCCCCCTTTCGTGCAAAGGGGGGGGGTGCTTGGAAGCTACCCCCCCCCTTTGGCCGCCCCGGAAGCTACCCCCCCTACCCCCCTTTCCAAAGGGAGGGGGGTGCTTAAGCTACCCCCCCCCCCCCCCCCTTGGAGCCGCCCTGCTGGAAGCTCCCCCCCCCTTCCCCCCTTCCCCCCTTTGGCCGCCCAGCCCCCGGAGCCTCCGCCCTCCCTTGCGCCTACGATCCAAAATGAACAATCCATGATCGAGGATGGACGATCGACGATCAACGATCGACGATCGAAAATCCCAATCGAATCGCTTGCAATCGATTGCACACCATTCCACTGCAATCCCCCTCCCCGCCTCCCTCCGCTCCCTCCACTCCCTCCCCACTTTTCGTTCCATCTCCTCCCTCCCCTCCCTCTCCTCCCCTCCCTCCCTTCCGTCCTGTCCCTCCCCTGCAATCGAATCGATTGAATCGATTGCAATTCAACCGATTGCAATCCAATCGATTGCAATCCGATGGATTGCAATCGAATCGTTTGCAATCCAATGGATTGCAATCGATTGCAACGCAAGTGTATCATTCAACTCGTCCCGTGCCAACGCCCGGGAACGAAAAATTACCCTGGCGACGTACCCAACCCCTGCGCAAACGCGGGGCGCAAATAGTTTGGGACACTTTATAAGGGGGGCGATGACGGAGCGAGGGCTACATATGCCTGCAGACGGAATTCGGGAGACTCGCAGGACACTGGCTTCAGGACAAGGACTAGATAAAGCTGATTACTTGCAATCCCTGAGCAACCCTAGCCACTTCGAAATCGGGGGTCTCAGATCGCAGCCCCCCAGGGATGGCGAGGTCTAATTTGGGTCCGCCCGTGGCGTCACTGTGCTGGGCCCCCCAGCAGGCCTCGAAAGTGGCGACGGTTTCACAGATCGCAGCCCCCCAGGGATGGCGAGGTCTAATTTGGGTCCGCGCGTGGCGTCACTGTGCTGGGCCCCCCAGCAGGCCTCGAAAGTGGCGACAATCTCACAGATCGCAGCCCCCCAGGGATGGCGAGGTCTACTTTGGATCCGCCCGTGGCGTCACTGTGCTGGGCCCCCCAGCAGGCCTCGAAAGTGGCGACAGTTTCACAGATCGCAGCCCCCCGCAGGCAAGACAGGAGGAGGCAAGAGGGAGACGGGACGGGAAGGAAGAAGTGGAGACCACACTGCTCTATTCAAAACGAATACCCAGACAAGGAGGGTTGGGAAAAATACGATTCCCCCCCGAAAGTTGCACGAAATGTAATTCGGAGAACGCCAGCCCGTCGGGTTTGGCAGTGTTCGTGTAAGACGGCGGCCAGCTGGGGGGGGAGAAGGGTGGATGGTGGAGGCGGAGGGGGAGGAGGACGAGGAGGAGGAGGAGGAGGAGGAGGAGGAGAAGAAGGAGGCGGAAGAATGAGGAAAGGGAGGGAAGGGGAGGAGAAGGAGGAAAAAGAGGAGGAGGAGGAGGAGGAAGAGGAGGAGGAGGGGGAGGAGGAGGAGCAGGAGGAGGAGGAGGAGGAGGAGGAGGAAATGGAGGAGGAGGAGGAGGAGGAGGAGGAAGAGGAGGAAGAGGAGAGGGAGGAGGATAACGAGGAGGAGGAGGAGGAAGAGGAGGATGATGATGATGAAGAGGAGGAGGAGGAGGGAAAAATGGATGAGGAGGAGGAGGAGGAGGAGGAGGAGGAGGAGGAGAAAACCGAGGAGGAGAGGGAAAAGGAAGGAGGAGGAACGGAACGGAAGGACCCGCGGGGGAGTACGATGATGATGATAATAATGATGATGATGATGACGATGATGACTATGAGGAGGATGAGGAGGACGAGGAAGAGGAGGAGGCAAAAGGAAGAAAAGGAGAAGGGAGACAGGCGGGAATAAATGGAGGCGAAAGGGAGGGCGATGGCTCCCGGAGCTGGGCGGCCCAAGGGGGGAAGGGGGGATGACGATGATGACTATGAGGGGGATGAGGAGGACGAGGAAGAGGAGGAGGCAAACGGAGGAGAAGAGGAGGAGGGAGAGGGGCGGAAATAAATGGAGGCGAAAGGGAGGGCGATGGCTCCAGGAGCTGGGCGGCCAAACGGGGGAAGGGGGGGGGGAGCTTCAAGCCCCCCCCCTTCTGCACCAAGGGAGGGAGGAGGGGGGGAGTTTCCAAAGCCCCCCCCCCTTTCAAAGGGGGGGGGGTGGAGGCTCACCCCAACCCCACTAAAAGGACGGAGGGGGGGGGAGCTTGGAAACCCACCCACCCCTTTTCCGGCCACGAAAAGGGAGGGGGGAGGGGAGCTTCCGAAGCCCCCCCCCTTCAAAGAGGGGGGGTGGCTCACCCCGGCTCAATTAAAGGGAAGGAGGGGGGGGGTAGCTTGGAAGCCCCCCCCCTTCCCGAACCACGAAAAGGGGGGGGGTCCGAAGCCCCCCCCCTTTAGCAAGGAAGGGGGGAGGGGGGGTAGCTTCAAGCTGGCCCCCCCCCTTTTAGTCTGTCGGGCCCCGCGCGCGCGCTCTATCATATGCATGCACCCCTGCCTCTTCTGTGTTGGCCCACTGGCCTTGCCAAGCAGGAGTGACAGGCGAGCTGATTCTTGTTTCCATGCATCAGGCAAGCACTGCAAAAGATTCCTTCCGAAGCTGCGCGGGAAGAATTACAAGCACGCCGAGGGTCCCAGGGAGGGGCAGGGAGGGAAGACTTTAGCGAATGGATACAAACACGCGGGCCTCAGCGAAGGGAGAGATATAACAATCAAGGATTGAAAGAACTCTGCCCCTTCTATGTTGGCCCAATGGCCCTGCCAAGCAGGAGTGACAGGCGAGCTAATTCTTTTTTCCATGCATCAGGCGAGCACTGCAAAATATTCCTTCCGAAGCTGCGTGGGAACCATGAAAAGCACGCTGAGGACTAGAGCAAAGGTCTTTGCTGAATGACACACCCATACCGCCATCACTTACTGGGGGGCCTCCTGAAAAGACTGGAAGATGGAGGCCTCCGCAGCCGAAGCCCGCCGGGCGAGGTTCTGAAGGGAGCGAGCAGCCTGGAGAAGGAGCCAACCGCTCTGCTCATAGCGTTTGACAAGTTTGGCGCGGGCCCACCGACCGCGCTTTTGGACCATAGCCAAGCTGCGCGAATTCTCAAGCACATCGTGACTGGGGGCAGAGTGACGCGCGACACGAGGCGCGATATGTCCCGCCTTGCCCAGGATTGCCCGGCTGTGTTTTCTGAGGAGGGCCTCGAACTTAGCGAGGGTCAAGTTTGGAAAGACGAACTCCTCGGGGCGCGAGCTGGGCGTTCGACGCTGGGCCCACATCTCTAAAACAGAGCTTATCCACTCACGGCCTGGCAAATTGAGAACGATAGCGTCGTCGCTCTCGCCAGTCTTCGCGGTCTCGCCAAGGTCGAAATTGCCAATGACAACCGCCCATCTCCCTCGAGACAGCGAAGATGAGAGGGGGGAGGGCTGCACGACTGAGCACCACCGACACTCGCAGACTTCAGAAGGTCTCAAGTAGGCATCTAGAAGAATGGCAAGGGCGACTGCGGCTTCGACTTGGTCTTCTCATACAAAGGCAGTCATGAACAGGTAAAAGACAAACAGCGGCCAGGGGTGCCGAGACGAGCCTGGGAACCTGCGAGACCATCCTTTCATGGCCTCACGAGACATCGCGAGCCAGGCGGACTTGGCGATGTCTGGCCGCGGGAAGAATGTCAAAAATCCCCAAAGAGCGTATCGTCCCTCTGCCGGATGCCTGGCGTCACTCACCAGCGCGTCGAAGTACTTGCACATGCGCTGGTCGATTTTGGACTCAGAAGCCTGCCTCAAATCCTTGGCGCGCGTAGCCCAGTCGAAGAAATCCCGGGCCGCGGTGCCATGTCGCTCCAAAGAGACTACGGGGATGGACCCAAACCGAGCCACTCCACCATCGGTAGGTACCGGCGCACGGGGCCCGATGTTGAAGTCCTGGCGCCTGATGGCCTCCACGAAGCTACAAACGCGGGAGCGGCAGACAGCGACCTTTCGGGCCTCCCTTGCCCGGGCCGCTTGCTTCCTGGCTGCCTCGAGGTTGGAGTCTTGGCCGAAGACGATGAACGGCCGCAGATGATCGCGCCTTCTCTCGAGGGCGCCTGGACCGGCGGCTGCAACGAGCCCGAGGTCAGGCTCCGCTTGGAGCCGCCGTCGAGACGGTCTGAGACGCTCGCGGGCACGCGAAGCCGAGCTTCAAAGTCGCCACCCTCAGGAGCGCCAGGGCAGCCCCGGGCGCCGGCGGGCGCAGTCCGCCGCGGCGCGCGCCCATGCCGCACAGAGATTGCGAGGGCAGGCCCCCGCACCTGCGATCCGATCGCGCGAGACCCGAGCCCCAGATGGCAGCGCCACCGTCTCAAAACCTCTGAGCTCCACATGCACGTGGCCCCTTGAAGAGACGGAGGCCAGGGGCGACAAGGCGAAGAAATACGCGAGCACACCGTCGGCTTCTGACGCAGGGCCCCGCAGCTGCAGCGCACAAAGCACACGCGAATCACGCCGGGGAAGTCACTGAGCTCTCGCACGGGATCGAAATCCCACAATATTGAAGATCTTGGGTTCTCGATGCCCCAGAAAACCCCGTTTCTTGAACGCGCATAGGCCACGCGAAAACTGAGTAGAACTAGAGCAACACCGATACGTCCTTTACGTCTAGCATTTTCATGATCAACAATATGGCGCCGAGCCCTGGACCAAACACAGCAGGGGGGGCCCATATGCACGTACCAGAACAGCCCATTCCGAATACTCTGCAAGATGATTTTCTGGACCACCAGATCTAGGAAGTCGTAGTGTGCCCCATGCTTTATGTCCATATCAAGTAAGGTCCTCAAGTTGAGCTCCTTGAAAGCCTTCGAGAGCCCACCCTCTCCAGAGAACAATTCAAGGAAGCCCTTGCCCTGTCGGGCTCGCCTAATAAGCTGAGCATGCCCGAGACGAAGAGGGGGGCCGGCGGCTCGACTGGCCACCGAAGGCGTCGATGTGTATTTATGAGATGCATGCCTTTGGAGAACCCATTAAATGCAAAAGTCCTAGAGTTACCTGCTAAATAGAAACGGAGATAGGAAACTAGATACTCGCAAAGTACCTGTTCGGTATCGGCGCCGCAAGGGCCAGGAGCAATGGGCACCCTAAAAGTAATCGCCGATTTTCCAATCAAAATGGGATACGGATGGAGATAGCTGAATAGTAGTCGTTCGGATACTGGCCCGCTGTAGGATGACGCTACAAGTAGTCGTTCGGATACTGGTTACCTGTAGGATGACACTGGCAAGGCACCGCGCAATGCAACACAACATGCACTGCAACACAAACTACTGGGACTCGGGTGCGAAATTGGCCCCAAAGATTGCATACGAGGCTTCAATACGGGGCCCAATGACGACCTAAGAGGCCTCCAAGACGCCCAAGATAGCCTCAAAGACGCCAGGAAGGCCATAGAAGGCCCAGGATGGCAGCTAGATGTCTCCAAGACGGCCCAAGATGCACCCAGGACGGCCTAAGATGATCTCAAGGTGGCCCTAGATTGCCCCCCAAGAGGCCTCCAAGATGGTCCAAGAGCCCTCCAACATAGCTCCATTGCCTTTCCCTCCACTCCCCTTTCGTTTCCTACCGTCCCATCCCTCCCCTTGTTCTCTTTTTTTCAACAGCGGTTTCGCCTGCTGGCGGCCGCGGTCTTTCGAGTACACAGTGCACCTGACTACTCCTGCAGCCCCGCCTTCTCGTACGCCCACCCCCGCAAAGCAGGCTGCATACAGCCGACGATGTGACCGAGCTCGTGGTCCGTCAATGTGTTCAAGATTTTGCGGAGCTCCCTCTTCAGCTATACGTCGTTCTGTTCCTCGGAGTAGGCGCCCCAGCTGTGCAGTGCCTTAGCCGTCGCCCTCGTGACACTCGCCAATATCACAATCTCGCTGGGTTACTTGAAGAGCTCACCTGGGACACGCTCTGAAAAAAAGAGATTGTAGGCCACTTGCACTTCCATCTGGGACTTCTGGAGGGCATTCAACTTCATGGAGAATGAATTGCCGTCGATCCCCGCGATGGCGTCCGTGAAGATCGACCTCACCACGTCGAAGTCGTTGGCCTTGCCCTCTGGGATTTTGTCGGTCCAGGAGTTACGCCCATCTCCATGTCCACCGTCGGCACTGCCACGGAGCTTCTCGTTAGCTGTCTGCATAACAGTCGTCACGCCTTTCAGATACTCGGCTTTTAGATCGCCCACCGTCATGCCCAGCACCTCGATGAACCCAGTGGGGGTGCCCGCATGCGGTTCCCCACCACCACCACTGTGGCATGCCCCTCACACAGTTCGTGGCCCCATAAGGAGCTCCACCGAAGACGATACTCACTACTGCGGTACTCACAACTGCACATGGTCGGGTCAGTCGCCCGGCTAATTTGGAGAGTGGCCGATGTGTCAGAGGGTCCCTTTTTTATTCGGCCCATGAGAGGGTTGTTCCTTGACACCCCTCACGAAGATCGTGGCTTCCAAAGGGGGTAAAGGAAATCTAAGAGCCCTTTTTTCTCTTCTGACCGACCACCTCCAAAATGGCCCTAAGAGGCGCTCCACGGCCCCCACGAAACCCCAAAGAGGGATCCAAGAGCGCCCAAGAGGCCCCAGGAGGGCTCCAAGAGGCACCCGAGGGGCACCCGAGAGGGCCCCGAGCGGCCTCAAAGAGCCCAAGATGACATCCAAAATGGCCCAGATAGCCCAAGCTGGTTCAAGATGGCGCCCAAGATGCCCAAGCGGCCCCAAGGCCGCTCCAAGACGGCTCGAGATGGCCACGGAGCCCCCCAAGCCTCCCTCGCAGTTTGACTGTGCCTCTTCCTCTCTCCTTCTGTCAACTCTCATGGGCATCGTTTCTGGATGGGCTGGCGGGGATACTTTTTGATCGCAAGCGCAATGGGAGACGCCAGACGCCGTCCAAGAGTGGTAGCAAGCGGGCTGCGAACTGAATTGCGCAACTGGAACGGGAAGAGGGAAGCAACGAGAGGACAGCGGACAGAGGAACAAACAGGAGGCGGGCCTCGCTGCAGCTCAGAGGAGGGCCCCGTCGACTAGGGGGGGCGTCAGCTGATTGGGATACGTGAAGCGCCAAGAATTACAAATATAAATATGTGCACACAGATGCGCATGCATGCATGGCAGTCGATAGCACCACTCAACATGTCATAGCATAGAACAACATAACATAACATGCCATAGCACCACAAAAGTATGTCAGTGTACATTACCAGTCCTGGAAATAAAACTCATTCCAGTGTACTACAATACACTACAACGCATTGTTTTACAATACAATGCATTCCATTACATTGAATGACTTTGCAATGCATTACAAAACCATACATGACACTATTTCACAGTACATTTAATTGCACGAATTTGCAATACTTTACCATACATTATACTACAATGCGTTACGCCACATATTAAATTAATCACATGCACACAGATCGATGAATTCTTAATATTTAAATGTATATATATACATATATATATATATAAGCTTGCATGTACATAAACATGTGTACATGTACATATGGAGACACATGCATGTGCATATATGGCCAGGGGGAAGAAGAGAGAGAGAGAGAGAGAGAAAGAAGGAGCGAGAGAGAGAGAGAGAGACTGCAAGCGGAGAGGGCGAGAGAGGGAGGAACAGAGAGGAAGAGGGCAGATACGACAGAGAGAAAGAGGATAAGAGCGAAAAGGTAGGAATCCATCATATATATACACATACAGAGAGACATACAGAGGGGTAGAAAGCGAGAAAGAGACGGCGAGTGGCGCAACAGAGAAAGACAGAGAAAGAAAGAGAGAGGAGCAGTCTCAGGGACACAGTGCGACACCATACCGCGGCAGCGGCGGTTGACACACCGGCGACCCCGACGTCGGCAGCGACGACGACGAATACGAGAAGAACGAAGACGTCGACGACGACATCGACGACGACGACCACCAAGCCGACGACGACGACAACGACGACAACGACGACGACGATGAGGACTGCAGGGAGGGCGAGCGACTACAACTTAGTAGACCAGGGCGACGAAGGAGAAATATCAAGCAGAGTGCAAAGAGAAAGCGGAGACAGAGGGAATGAGAGGGTATACAAGGAAAGCGGAGGCAGGGGGCGCAGGGAGCGAAGACAGAGAGCAGAGAGCCACACCAAGGAGAGGGCAAAAGGAATCAGAAGATGAGACAAGGAGAGAGAGAGACAGGCGATGGACAGGCGAAAACGGACGCGGAGGGGGGCCCCCGAGCCTCACAGCGTCTGAGGAACAAGACGCGGATGGTGGATGAAGGCAACGGTGTGGGCGATCATCGACACAGCCATCGCGAGCATGATCGCTAAGTCGATCGGCGCCGTCGTTGACATTGCACCGATCCGTCCTTTCTTCAACCCCCCCAGCCATTTCCGCTCGCGTCATGCACCGCGCGCTGCCTGCCCCTCCCCCCCCTCCGGGAGGCCTGCGCGATCCTCGCGGCATAGTGGGCCTCGAGATCCAGGGCCCCCTGCAACCGCGACTGCCACGCCCGCGGCCCGAGGTCGGGGTCCTTCAGCAAGTCCCTGCCGTGGAGAGCGAAGGAGAGGAGGAAGGACCGTGGACGGTTGGCCACGCACGACGACGACGAGGACGACGACGACGACAACGATGACGACGAATACGACGACGACGACAACGAATACGACGACGACGACGACGACGATGACAACAACGACGACGACGAATACGACGACGACGACAACGACGATGACGATGACGACGACGACGACGACGACGACGACGAGGCCGACGACGACGACGACATCGACGACAACGACGACGACGATAACAACGACGACGACGACGACGACGACGATGACAAGAACGACGACGACAACGAGGCCAACGACGACAACGACATCGACGACAACGACGACGACGACGACGAATACGACGACGACGATGACGATGACGACGATGACGACGACGACAGGGAGAATCAAGGCTTTCTGAACGTTTTGGGCCGATATTGTGCCCTGCAAGCCCCCAGAGGCCCCCAAGAGTTTCCGCAGACCCCTAGAGATCTCCAGAGGCCCCCAAAAGCGCGAGGCAGAAGGGTGGGGTCGGAGGAAACTCGCTCCAAACGGACACTGGAAAAATGCAATACGGTCAACCCGTATATGAGGACGCACGGAAAAGATGCAAGGGCCTTGGAAGGCCATGCACTTTGCGAGCGGGGCGCGGCCAGCGGAACGGCCAAGGATGGGCCGAACGTGAAGAATGCAAGGGTAACGTTGAAAAGCCGCTCATCCATACTATGAGGGTTGACTGAATTCAATATCAGCTGGCTTCGTTACTTAACCCCACGTTAGGCGAGCGCCCCCACTACGTTCCTCCACAACCACACCGACCCCTCAGAGCCTCCCAGGGGCGCGAGAAGAGAGCGGGGCGCCCAACGCGCCTGACCGACGTGGGCCCCCTGCAGGGCTCGCTGGGCTCGCAAGGGCCGGCGGCACATGGCAGCGCGGCGAAGCGGCCGCCCCCCGCCCCAGGCGGCATCCCTTCCGACGCGACGGGCCCTGGGAGGTGAAGGGGGGGGGGGCGCTGACCCGCTAACGAGAAAGAGGGGCGGAGCGGCGCCGATGTCGCCTAGACGGCGTGCCGTACAGAGAACCGCACGCGCGAAGAAAAAGGAGGAAGGAAACGGATAGAAGGAGGAGGAGGAGGAAAACGAGGAAAAAGGAAGGACACAGCGACGAAAACACGAAGAGAGGGAGGGGGAGGAGAAGGAGGAGGAAAAAGAGGAGGAGGAGGAGAAGGAGGAGGAGGAGGACGAGGACGAGGAGGAGGAGGACGAGGACGAGGAGGAGGAGGAGAAGGATGAGCAGGAGGAGGACGACGAGAAGGAGGGAGAGAAGGAGGAGGACGAGGAGGACGAGGAGGAGGAGGAAGAGGAGGAAGAGGACGAGAACGAGGACGAGGAGGAGGAGGAGGAGTACGAGGAAAAAGGGGAGGAGAAAGAGGAGGACGAGGAGGAGGAAGAGGAGGAAGAGGACGGGGAAGAGGAGGAGGGGGAGGAGGAGGAGGAGGAGGAGGAGGAGGAGGAGAGGAGGAGGAGGAGGAGGAGAGGAGGAAGAGGAGGAAGAGGACGAGGAGGGGGAAAGGAGGAGGAAGAGGAGGACGAGGACGACGAGGAGGAGGAGGAGGAGAAGGAAGAGGAAGGGGAGGAAGCGGAGGAAAACGCACGCGGACGCGGAGGCACAGGCGGGCAATGACAAGGACGAAGACGGGGAGTATAACCATGGAAAAAATACAGAACCAACGATTCTTCATTACGATGTTTCGGTAAATTGTGGCCCACCCTACCAAAAAAACAAATAGCCCAACCGCTCAGAGAAACGCAATTGCGGAGGTAACACGAGCTAGGCCCACCGACGACACCGCACGCAAGCCCAAAATCCGCCGACCCCTTGTGGGTCTCCAAGCGTGTGAGATTGTTCCCCCCTCCTAATCCCCCCCAAGGACCCCAAACCAGGAATTTGATCTCCCCCCCCTCGCCCGGGACGACCCCCGACCGAACTCACCCGGGGCGGTCTGGGCTCCCTGGGCTCGCTCGAGCTGCACGACAGCACTTGACGCCTCCCAAGAAGCCGCCAAGACGGTCCACGAGAACCCAAAGTCGCCGAAAGATCGTTCCAAGATGCCCACAATGAGCTCAAAACGGCCCACGAGGCCGCCAAGACACCCCACGAAGCCTCCAAAAGGCATCCCAAGAAGCCCCCAAGAAAACAAAGTCTTCAAATCCCCTTGGGAAAACGTCCATTTTCATCATATCCAACTTGTTTGCCTTCACGGCGTTGAAAGCCGTCCACGAGGCCCCCACGAGGCCACCAAGACCACCCCAAGACGGCCCACGAGGCTCCCAGGAGGCCCCAAAGACAACCCAAAAGACTCCAACGTGGCCCCAGAAACGCCTTAGACGGCCCAAGAAAACTCCAAAACGGCCCCAAAAAGGGCCCAAGAGAGGGACCACGAACCGCGAATTCCAGCGTTCCGACCAACGAAGCTCTCCGGAGGACCCAAGAGGGCCCCAAGCGGCCCCAAGAGGCCCCGTGAGGCACCCAAGAGGCCCCAAGGAGCCCCCCAAGACACCAAAAAAAAGCTCCAAAACGGCCCCCAAGACCCTTCGAAACTGCCTCGAAGAGGCCCGCGAAAATCCTCGCCGCGAAATCCCAACGGACATCCCAACGGGAGCCCACCGGGGGCCGCCAAGAAACGGATCGGGACGAAGCGTGGGCACCGGAAAATACGATAACAGCAACGAGGCAACAGGAACGATGTCGAGCTCCGTGTCATGCTTGGGACATGCCTCGCGGAATGCAGTCCTGGAGGCGCAATAATTTATAGAGGGGTCGGCGGATGCGGCGTAAGCCGTAAGCCTATAGAATCAACCCTAACTATATGGAGCCGCAAACGCCGTGCACTTATACACTATGCACGAACATAAACGAGCCTTACCATTGTCCATCGTGCTCCTTCGAGAAACTTCTGGTCTGTTGCTGGGATCTGTCGGTGGCAATCCTCCTCATAATCGCATTGACTGCTGTACTCCCTCGGACACACTGAGAGAAGGAGGACGGGGAGGAGGAGGAGGAGGAGGAGGAGGAGGGAGGAAAAGGAGGAGGAAGAAGAAGAGGAGGAGGCGGAGGAAACGGAGGAGGAGGCGAAGGAACTGGAATTGCAGGGGGCGGCGAGAAAGAAAGCAGAGCGGCGACACAATGAAGTAGGCGGACAGTTTCCTTCTAAATCCAAGATGCATGCGATCCGGCGCCTGAGCCGAGATAGCAGAGGCGCGTCCTATACGAGTCGGGATGGCGAGGACAGTCGAAATACTCTGGCGGAGCAGCAGACCCAAGAAAGAAGGAATATCGAAACTGTCCAATCCCCACGAACCTTCTCAATCCGCCTAGGAGACTCGGCCGCCATCTGGGAGGCGCGCCAGGTCGACGGAGCGCGCGCTCACTGACCGCACCGAGCGAGCTTGTCCGTGATCGTAAGCACGGCACAGAGCAGCTCACATGAGCAAGTGAGCGGAAGCAAGACGAGTGCCGCGGCGGCGCGCGAGAGCCTTGCGCCGCGGCCACGGCGACCGAAAGCCGAGCCCGGGGGGCAGGCTCGGCGAGGCATGGCACAAGACCTGCAGAGGCGAGGACGCGGAAAGGGCGCCATGAACTCTTAGAGGCAGCGGGGGAGAAGGCAGGAGGCACCTTGAGGGCGCGCGGATGCGGATGCAACGATCAGTTTCTTTCCGTCGGACTCCCGTCGGTGCGAAGCTCGGGCTCTTCTCTGGCCTCCGCGCCGTCGGCCGCTACAGACTGCGCGGTGTCCTCGAATGGGGTGGACGGCACCTCGTCCTCGCCCTCCTCTGGCGTTGCCCTCTGTCGTGCTCGTCAGCGCGCTTCTGGTCCTGCTCGCGGTTGCTCTCGAGACCTCCGCGGCGGGTTCGTTTGGGGGCCCTCGCGGGCACAGCCGCGGTCGTCTCCGTCTCCCTGTCCTGGCCCATCCTGCCCTTGCTGGCCTGGCTGCCAGCGCCGCTGCCCTGGCTGCCCGCGCCGCGATTCTTGCCGAACTTTCGCCTGCTGGCACTGCACCTGGCCGAGGCTGCCCATGAGCGCCTGGCCCCCGGCAGCGCGCCCGGACCTCGGTGGCGTCTCCAACTCGCGCGCGCGCCCGCGCAGCAATCGCCCTGGGCGCTGCGAGCGCGCGGCGACGCCCTGGCACCCAGGCACTGGCGCGGCAAAACCTAATGGCGGACCAGGTGGCCGCGGCGGCGTGGCCCCTGGCGATGGGTCGGCCAGCTGCGACGGCCTGCTCTTCGGCTCGGGCGACCGAGACCGCTGCCTGCGGCCCCGCGCCTGGATGTCCGAGGCCAGCAGGGGATCTCCGCCGCGGCCGGGCCGGGGAGACCTGGCCACGCATCTCCAACGCAATCGGCGCGCGAGGCCGCATTCACGGGTCAGCGAATGCGCCCAGTGCGCCGCCGGGCGTTGACCGAAGACCAGAACGTTCGGATGGCGGGCGCCCACTTCGACAGTCGGGCGCAATCCTAGATACACGTTGCACCGTCGCACTGCCCGCCCGCGACGCGCACCTCGCGGCCGAACACCACGCGCAGCTGCAAATCCACGCACGCGTCGCTCAAGAGAACTCAGCACGCCAAGGGCGCCAGGAAGGCCATGCCCATGCGCCAGCTGCAGCGGGCGCATTCGTCGACCTTGGCCGCGTCGAGCAATTCCGAAGTCGACGCAAGACGCGCCGCAACATCTTCCGCGCGAACTTGCGCCGCCTTCCTGTCTCCCGCCGTGCGAGGGTAGACCTCGTCACCAATGATCTACAGGGGCGCCCCCGGCGGCGGCGGCGCCGGCGCGGCCCCGCTCGGCGCCGCGAACCGCGGGCGCGCTGGCCGAGGCGACTGGGGGTCCAGGCGAGAGAATTTCGTCGCCCGCGGCCGCGGCGGCGTAGAACATCTACCACGCCCCGGCCACGCGACAGAGGCGGCGACGGCGATGGTTCGCCAGCGGCGGGCGCGCCTCTTGGATTCCGCCGCTGGCGCACGCGGGTGCCCAGTGGACGCGCCGTAAGGAGCACCGCCGGGCGGTGCCGCCGAAGCTCTACCCTGGCGCCGCGGCCGTGGACTGACGCTCGAAACCGCCGAACAAGGTGAAGCCCGACGCACGGGCGCGGGCGCAGCGGCGGCCTTCTTGAACGGCACGGTCGCGCGCGCGGCCCTCTCGGGCGCGCGAGCAGGCCGCGCGGGGGCCGGCCGGCGCGGGCGAGCGCGCAGGCCCCCGCGCCGCGAGCGCGGCCCCCGCGCCGAACAGGCAGACGGCCGCGGATGTCACACACGCATGCGCGCGCACACACACATACATACATATACACACACACAACACACTTCTGCGCCGGCGGCTGGGCAGATCTCGACGCCAGGCCCGCTCCGGCAAGTCCTAGCAGCGGCGGGGCGGGCGCTGGGGGGGGGGGCCAGCGGCGGCGCCAGGCAGCTGCTGAAGGGAAGGCAAGCCCGAAGGCGGCCGGGCAGAGCCCAGAGGGGGGGAGTCCTCCAGACCTGCCAGGTGCCGGATCAACCCGCGAACGCAATGCCAGGGGGGGTCTGACCACGAGTAGCAGCAAACGGCTGCGCACGGAGAAATACACATGTCACGCGACTGAAAACTTAGAAAGGACCCCGCCAACATGGGGGCGCAGCGCGGAGCTGGCAAGGGCCCAGCGAATGGGGCTGGCGGACACCGAAATCTGCTGACCTGCGAGGCGCGGAGGGGGGGGGCGGGCAGCGCGCCAATGCGCCACGGCTGCGCTGCAGCGGTCACGGCCAACCTGGGCGGCTGGTTCCCCGGCGACAGGCCGACCTGAAAAATAAGCGGGCGAGACGAGGGCCCGGCCAGAAGCGGCCGAGGTCGGCCAGCCCGGCGGGGGGCGCAGCAGAAAGCTGAGGTGAGAGCCACACGCGGCGCCTGGACAAAACCTGCAGAAAGCCGGCGAAGCACCCTGCCAAGGCGGGGGGGGCACAACGGCTGGACAGGGCAGCCACCAGCGCGCGGGGACT